ATGTAACTTAACTAATAAGAGCTCAAATTTATAATTCTGCAGAATTATACTATATGTGTTTTGCAGTTACTATACATTAGGGTCTGCAAATGATGAATATAGACTATCAATTTATATACTTCTTTGGCATTTTATTTAAGAGGCAAGCCGTGTCATGATAGCAAGCAACACTCATCAAGAATTGGGTTTCTATTTTCCACTCTACCACTACCTGGCAATGTGATTTCCAGAACAATCTGTGCACCAGTGGCCACTACTGTAAAATGAATGAGTTGAGCTATCTCTAAAGTTCCATTCAGAACAATGCTTTATAACTTAAGAGCATACATTTACTTTTAAAAATCAGAGTTATAATTTTTATGGCATATTGTTGGTAACAAAAAAAAAATTTGTAGAGTATGTGTAAAGGATCTTTAAACAGATTTAGGAGTGAGGGGAGAGGGGTAGGGGTTTAGAGATAGCTCAATTACTTAACACTAAATAAGGCACTAAGCTAAGAACACTAAGTGAAAAATCAAGACTTAGTTTCCTCAAAGAATCTCTTCCTCAAACTACCAAACATAGGTTTTTCCTTTATCATGTTTGTTTACTTATAGACAAGGCATTTCATAACATCCTGGAGCTCACAGGTTGGCTGCTCCTATTTTGACCAATCAAAACTCATCTTTCACACAAACATTTTTCTGCTTTTGTAGGTTATAAAGAACTTAAAAAGGCCACAGGTTCTCTGCTGGGCTTGGGGGTATAAGCAGGCTCTGGTGCAGTTCTGATCTACTTATGTAGAGGCTTAACCTGATTTTATTGCATTTCACTTCATTGAGCTTCACAGATGTTGCATATTTTACAAATTAAGGTAAGACCTTCACCAGCAAAATTATTACAACTCGCTTTCCTGTGGTAGTCTGGAACTGAACCCATGATACCTCTGAGGTATGCCTGTATACTTAAGCCCTCATCACTCACACTGACCTTGAGACACATAATTTAAACTCTCTCTAATAAAGAATTTGTACTACCATAAATCATGAAATAATTTAATACAAATATGTTAGTTCTCCACTGAATTCCAACAAATTTGAATCTATAAAAGGCACTTTTTTACACACATGAAATACTAGGATAAATTTCTCAAGATGGTTTAGTTTATTAGCTAACCTAAGAAATACAGATGCATTGACTCAAAAATGCATTTTTTTAATCTCTTTTCATATCCTTAACTAGGTTGTAAGTTCTAAATACAGCTCCTTTATATGATTCTTAAATTACCTGATAAGAGAAAGACAATACTTCTCTCAATTTATCGATAACTTACAAAAAATTAAGCTGAATATAATTGATTACATAGCAATAATCTTTTCTTGCTTTCATATATTAATGTTCAGTAGTCCGCATCTACTCCAGTACTTACACCGTTGAAATCTTAATTTATTCATCTACTTAAAGAGAGAAACCTTTACAAACAATCTGCAACCCACCTGTTCTGGGGATGGTCAGAGTGGGGAAATCTTGCATTTGCCCACGTTCAAGCAGAGTGTTTCAGAGCAGGGTGAGCAGAACAGGGAAGGTAAACCACCCAAGGGTATCTAAGCTCCTTCGGAGTCCAGTTTTCAAATTGTGGCTTTTATTATTTTGCAAATATTATTTTCCACATCAGAACTACCCATATGGATAAACTGGGAAGTTTCAAAATGCAAACGTTTTAATCTGTCAAAGTAGATTATTCTTACATCCGATCTTTAATAAAAGGGTTACTTGTCAATAGTTAACATAAATTATAGACGCAAGAACAACCTAAGGCTGGTGTAGGGCCTAAAAATATATTTTAACTATTAGCCATTAATATGAAACATTTCTTTAAACTAATGATTATATAAATAGGTCTGGAATAAAAAACTAAAGCCTGTTTTGAAAAACCTAGAGAAGCCAACAGTGACTCCACAGCTGACCAGTCCCAAAGCTGGCTGTCAGACCCCTACCTCCATCCCATGTCGGTTGGTGAGATCTCTAGCCTGAGAAGGGAGGAGTCCCCTCTGACAATTTGACTGTCTTCAGCTCCTATCACTCAGAGACTCCCATAATTCCAGAAAATGAAAAAAAAAAAAAAAAAAGATTAGGGCTCTAATCATAAAAGACAATGTGGGTTCTTTGTGTAGGCTAAAACAACAACAACAACAACAATAACGAAAACAAAACTTTTTCATTTTAAAAAAGGGTTGGGGTACATTGGGAAATGGACGGTTTTTCTAAAAATTCCATGGTACTATTTTAATTTCTGTGCTTCATCATTCTAACACTATATATGTATTATAAAGTTCAAGAAAATTCTACACTTACTTTATTTACAAAGTTTTCACTGGATTTGTGTGTGTCTTAATTTCAATTTTAAGTTTCACACGAAGATTTACCATCCATCAAAAAAGTACTGAAAAGCAGGTAATGATTTTTGTGTGTGTTTGAAGGGGCTAGGCAATATCCTATTTGAAATTATAGATTGTTTCCTCTAGGCCCAAGTTGGTTAAAAATTTACCATAGCACCAGTAACAGAACTGTGTTGGCAGTATAAAAACAGTATTGGCTGTCTTTAAACAAATTTACAAAATAAAAGTTTGGCTCAGAAATTATAGTTCAAGCTCGCAACATATTAGCTTGCCTGTATCTTCTAAATTTTAACTGTAGTACTATAAGTATGTTCACATGTGATAGAGAACCTAAGTATATAAAGAAAACTAGAAAATATAGGAACAATAAAGATCAAAACTGAGGCAAAGGTCCATTGGTTCATGACGAGGAGCCTATGGTGGTACTTGAAACTGAATCTAAATGTGTCAAGTCCAGTGCCCTGTTGATATGGGCA